CTCAGTGTCCACCTTTCACATGCACATGAGGCGACTGAACATACCATGGCTTAGGGCAGCCTGGCCTGAGTTCTCCAAGTAACATCTTTGCTTTTTTAACACATTAAAGAGGTGCAGCAGATTTACCCACTGCAAGATGGTCCTCGATCCATGAGAAGTGATTTTGGAGTCAAGCAGGATGAAATCCTTGGCAACTTCCGTCCTTTCTCCATGTCTCATGATGTGACCCATTGGCCCAGTTGTGGGAATTTTGATGCAGGAAGCATTAAAAGAAGATGGAAAGGATACACGGAGTCACTGTACCCAAAAGAACTAGTTGACATTCAATCATTTCAGGAAGTAGCATATGAGCAAGAACCAATGGTGCTGAAGGAAGAAGTTTAAACTGTACGGAATGCATTAGTCAAACAACAAGGCTCCAGGAAGTGATGGAATACCAATGTCATGTTTCTGCAAGCTGATGAAGCAGTGGAAGCACTCACTTACTTGTCTATGCCAGGGCATTTGGAAGACAGCTGCTTGGCCAAATGACTGGAAGAGATCCACATGTGTGCCCATTCCAAGGAAACGTGACCTCACAGAATGTACAAATTGTAGAACAATATCATTAACATCACATGCAAGTAAAACTTTGTTGGAGCTCATCCAACAGTGTGGCTGCAACAGTCCATTGACAGAGAGTTGCCAGAATTCAGACCAGATTCAAAAGAGGATGTAGAACAAGGGATATCATTACTGATGTCCGATGGATCTTGGCTGAATGCAGAGAATACCAGAAAGATGTCTACTTGTGTTTTATTGACTCTATCAAAGGCATTCGACTGTGTGGACCAACACAAACTACCAAGAGCCTTGAGAAGAATGAGAATCCCCGAGCAGTTCATTGTGCTCCTGTGGAACTTGTACACGGATCAAGAGGCAGTTGTGCAAACAGAACAAGGAAATACTGCATGGTTTTAAATCAAGAAAGATATGTATCCTCTCATCATACTCGTTCAATCTGCATGCTGAGCAAATAACTAGGGAAACTGGATTATATGAAAGAATATATCAGGACGGGCAGGTCTGTCTGGATAGGACAGGCTGGATGAACAATCTGGAGGAGAAAACAACGGGGCTGACAGTTCCGGGGGAACATGGGATAGGGGGAGGGGG